AAAAAAAAAAAAAAAATCCCAAAGGCCAAGCTGCAGAGCAGCAGGAACTGTCCACACGGCCGGTGGGAGTGCCAGCTGGTACAGCCACTTGGGAAGCTGCTCTGGCACTGTCTCCTCAAGGTGAAGAGTTGCTACCCCCTGCCCCAGCAACACCACTTCCTGGGGTACACCCACCAGCACTTCATGCACATGTAGCCAAGAGACAGCCACGACGTACACAGCAGGTTATTCACGACAGCCTCAGAGTAAGACGAGCCAAGTGCTCACCCAGACGATGGAGAAATACGTTGTAGTCTATTCCTACAAATTCTACACAGCATCAAAAACGAAGGAACAGCACACAAAACAAATGCAATAATTTCACAATGTTGAGCAAAACAAATCAAACACAAAAGAATATACGCTGTATAATCCATTCACATAAAATTCAAAACACAGTCAAAGCTATAAGACAGGTTCAGGATGCAGCCTCAGGTGGTGAAGGAAGGACGCAGGAGTGAAGGCCCCGAGGTGAGGACACCGGCTCCCCGCAGTGGGAGGGAGGGAAGATCAGGAAGGACCCAGGGCGCCTGCCCACCGACCCGCGCGGTGACACAGCGTGCAGGCTCCCGGACATGAGCTGGGAGCTGCGCTCTGCGCGCTTCCCCATAGGGACAGGACATTTCTCAACTGACAAAAAGGTTGAAAGAAAAGCCAACCAATGACTAACCACGACAAATTTTCACTTGTGAATTTACAAACTGGGCCAAATATCTTGCATTCTAAAAATAAACTAATACATTAATTAAAGAAAATAACTAAGACCAATACCCACCCTGAGTTCCCGTCCCCATCACAGACTTACTCTGCTTAATCTGGAGACAGCCAGAGAGACAGAAGTTTTAAACTCTTCTGGGTTCTTTTGCGCTAAGGTGGTGATGAGGCTTGTGGCGGCAGTGACCACACCCTGCAAGAAAAATACACACATCACACATTTCCACTCCAGTCACATACCTGAAGCTGACCTCTCGTTTTAAACTCATTTTCCAAATAAAACTTGAAGAGAAACAAACTGGGCACCATGGCCACCCCAGGTCGACTCTGATGGGCCCACCAGGGTTGCAGAAATTGAAAGAGCACATACAGGTTGTCTTCTTTGGAAAAGCTTTTCTCTGAACATGGGGAAACCCAGCAAGGCCTCAGCCCAGACTCTGCCATCGTGACAGCAGCACAGGCAGCAGCAGCACCAGGCCACGTTTCCACCCGCCCTATCGTCTTTTCTGGGTCCGGTCCCCTGCCTGGCCCTGTGGTCGGCTGTGCTCGCTGCCCCTAGCTGACATCATTCCGTGTGGACTAGAGAAGGAGACACTATCTTTAGACTCATGTGAATCTTTACAAACCAAAACTAAGACAGTGGAAAACCGCAAATGAAAAAGTCCATTCTCCCCTTTTTGAAAAGTGGTCCAGGCCGTGTCTCTGTCACCCTGGTCCCTGAAGCGCCACCAGACCCTCTCTCCCTGTGGAACCCCCACACATCCCGGCCTCAGCGCACGGGGCAATCTTTGCTAAGCCCCAGGACAACTGGCAGTTACTCCCAGTAACTCGTGGCTCTTGGAGAAAGACACTGGTTACGTAAAGAAGAAGTCCTCTTGCAAATATAAAAAACTTAAGACAAACAAATGATACTTATTGACGGTGAAAATGCAAACAAAGCTCAGGGAACTAATTTAATCCTAATTTAATCGCTCCTGTCCCTCCTCCACCCCCACTCCTGAGCGGTGGGAGGACGACAGCAGAGTTTCTCCAGCAGGAAGCAGATGAGAAGGTGCGGGTCGGTGCCACAGCAACTCATCCCAGAGCCACCCTGTGCTGCTCCTTCAGCTTTCTAATGAAAACATAAAAGCTAGATTAAAGAAATGGATCCAACTCGCCTTACTCTCCATTTCTCAGTGGGCAAGATAAATGCCAACAGATTTCCCACCCAAACAGAGCGCTTTCACAAACTCGGTATTTGTAACATGCAAATCCCACTAGGCCAGGGGGCATTCCACGTGGCTCCTGAGTGTTCAGGGCCGGCCTGGTTCAGCAGGAAGCAGCAGCAAGTCTCTATGGATTAATCAAGAATGTTCTGACAAGAGCGGGTTGGGGCTCATGGGCTACTCTCTGGGCCCCTACAGGAGTCTCTGAGGGGAGGGCAGTGTGGGGGAGACTGGGGAGGCCCACAAAGCCCACCGCTATGCCCTTCTGGCCACAGCTGGTTGCCTCAATGGCCCCCAACCCCTCCCCCAACCAGGCAGCCTTCTCCACATGGCGGTCCTCATCCGCGCCATGAGAGGGGCCTGCTCTGACTCACACAAGGCTCAGCACATCACAGCCTGTCCCGCCCCACACAGAACTCCCCCCAGGCTCCCCTGCTGCTCTCAGAAGGGCACATGGGGGCTCGCTCGCTCCGGGTGGGCAACTGACACTCTTTCCGGGGATTCCTGACCTGGTGACCAAAGAAAGCCAAGTCTCGGGCCTTCTGCAGTGGCAAAGCCAGGAGGTATATGACACAGAAGCCACGGCCACTGTGGAGGACAGCAGCCAAGAAAACGACAACACATGCGAGAACAGCAGGGACGAAGAAAGAGCAGGGTGGGAGCACAGCCTTCCCACGGTCTGTCTGTGGCACCCCTCTACCTCTCCCACATCAAGCTGGGTTCCTGGGGCCTACAACCAAGAATGCGCCAAGTGCACCTGGCGACACAGAGTTGAGGACATGACAAGACAAAAGCAAGCGAAACAGCTGGAGTGCAGGATCACAGAGTGTCACAGGAGAGGAGCCCTGGTGGCCAGCTGATACTCGGCCCCCACCACCCTGAAAAGCACTTGGTGTAGACGCCCACCAGCCGAGGGCCTCGGCATCTGTCAGCCATGAGGCTGCAGGAAGCTTCCCTGACAAGGCAAGAGTGATGACAACATGTACCAGAATTTCACAAACCGTCACAAATTAGGTCTGCAGAGAGCACTGTGTGAGGAGGAGCCTACACACGCACTAGCGGCCCAGTGGCCCCACCCCAGGCCAACAGAGCAGACCAGGCCCTGCCTCCCCACCACCTCCTTCACCAACACTTGGGTCCTGGGACAGCAGAACACTCCAGCTCTGACCCTTCGTCAACACCTAGTTCAAGCTTGGATCTGTGCAAAGCCACTCAATCCCTCTGAGCCTTGGTTTCCTCATCTGAAAAACTGGAAAAAGCCCCACTGCCTCACAGGGTCCACCTGATGAGCGACTTGTGACCCGGAGCCTCACAGCCTCCAGCATCACTTCTCTGACTCCATGGGTAGAATGTGAACCTGAACAGACTGAGTGTGACCCAGCGTGCGCGACTGGCATGTGAAGGTAGCATTGCCAACCTCTCCTGCCAGGTCCGTCCCCTCTGCCTACAACACGGCCTGCAGATGCCCAGCTCCACCCTGAGGAATGGCTGCCCCTGCTCAGACACGTGTGCCGAGTAAGCACGGGAAATGAGGATGGAGGAACAGCTCACAGGCTGTCACACGACAGCAAGCGTGCCGACACAACCACCAGCACCTTCCTCTGAATCTACAGATAATGATCATTTATTTTTAATTTTTAAGGCAGATCTCTCCTCTGGGAAAAAGTGTAGTAACCAGCTAACATACTCAACCTGCGTGCTCAGCAAGAAAATCTTTCTGTTTGTGCTGAATTTTAATTCTCTCATTTATACAACAGAACTCAGGCAGGACAAGGCCACTCTGTCCAACATTTGCTCCTACTTGACCCCGCATCCCAGGGCCATATCCCCGTTTGCCCCTCCAACGTGGACACGCCCTGTGAGTCACATCTAACAACAGCCACTGACTCCCTCTCTACCTCCAGCCCAGCTCGTGGAGTGGCAGTGCAGATTAGTAAGACTGCATGCCGGAGCTCAGGTCAGGACCACAGGACACCCCCACCACAGCCCTCACGAGACGCAGACAGGACGCCACGTGGGAATGCCCTCCCTGGACGGGGTGTTTCCTGAAGACGCTGATCTTTGTCTTGTTCATCTATGCCGCCCCGGCATGCAGGAGGTCCTCCAGCGCCTCATTATAGGGTGAGCCAGAGACCGTATCTGACTCATCCCATCCCCAGGAGAGGGTGCTCCTCACCCCTAACTGCAGGCACTCACAGGCTCGATGGACTGAGCTGTGTAAGTGTCCCTTCGCATCGTAAGAAATCACACTGAGCTGCTTTCACAATGGCTAGTCCAAAAAAGGTTACTTGGTGAGGCGAGGGTGGACTCAAGTCCAAAGGCGTTTACCAAATGCTGGTCGTTGAGGAGGTGCACCACTCGGGACGTCCAGTCACCCATGGGGACGAGATCGGGAGACGTTCGGTACAAACGCAGCAAACACAGGGCAGCGCTCTGCTTCACACTGTCCATGGTATCCCTGGAAGACAGACACCGGCCGTCATGTGAGAACACAGCCGGCACCCCCCGTGTGTACCCGACAAGCAAGCAGAGCCCAGAGCTGCACGGAGAACACCCCAGAGCAACCAAGAGACCAGAGGCACCTCAGTGGGGTGGCTGAACGACATTCAGAATAAGGTCGCCTCAACCTGTCCGCATGATCAAGCTCATGCCCACCTCCTGCGACGGGTCTTCGTATGGACCATGTTTGGACAGTGACGGACAGTGACAACGTCTGCTCTGAAGAGCTACCTCCATGGACTTCACATCAAACACAACCAACAGGAAAGAGTCCTGCCGGCAAAAGTCTCCCACCATTAACCTTCTCATCTCTAAAATGATCAGTTCTAGTACTTTTCCCAACTGCTGAATATGACCTTGGCTATGCAGGCTGATTATATCCAACTAGCGTTCCTCTGTAATTATTTGAATTACAGTATTTTTTTCTCCAATTCACTTAATAACACACAATCAAAACAGAAAAGTGTCAGAGAGCTTTGCACTACCACAGAACTCGGTGTCAACCTGGTGATTTCCTCCCCTGCCTCCAAAACAACCATCAGGCGCACTCCTCAAGCACCCCCCTCCCACCCTGTACCCTGCCTTCACTCTGCACTAAGAAAGCAGAGGCAGCAGCTAGATGCCCTCATGCCTCTCGCAGTGGCTGACTGAGAAGAGTAGCACTTCTGGGCTGGGGAGCCCCGCATCCTAGAGTCGGCACGAGCACTGAGAGGCTAGGTCAGAACAATCGCAGACACCCCAGGAAAGGGGCATTTGGAGGGTTTTCTGTTCTGGTTTTAATACTGGTTGAGGGCACAGAATGTTTCCAATGCTGTTTATCCCTCCTCCTCCCTAACTCCAGACAAATTCTGCTAAGCAGCCGGGAAAGCGACAGGCCCACCAAGGAGTACTCCAGTGGAGGCTGTCCAAATACGTCTGAAAAAGAACTAGTCGGCGTCCTCAAAGCAGTGATGGAAGCAAGGGAGGCTCCTGTTCTATCTGGAGAAAAGAGAAGGGTTTGGGGCTATCTTTACCATTTATCTCCCTTTTGGATTTTTTATTCCTAAATGAGTCCAAACTAACATGAGAAACCCCCAAACTGCCCCCCATTCTATTCCAAAGAAAAATTACTTTAGTAAAAAATCCTCTTTTGGATGCAAACACCCCTGGGGAGCAGTAGATACCTGTCCCTCTCTCTGGCCCCAAGCTAGCCTCACGAGGAGCAGCAGGGCAGCCACGTCCTCCAGGCCTCGTGGCAGAACCTCAAGCCCACTCCATGAGCTTCCTTTCGTGCAGGTAGGTTGACAAGGCCATCATGGGTATCTGCCATCTGTGCCACCCAGTAATACATGGCTTTGGCTTAAAGTAGCCAGTTTGTTTCTATGCTTGCAGCTACAAGTCCTGACTAATACAGGAGGGCCTATCTGCCCACCGTTCCCACACTGCTCAACACCTTCATAGACAGCCACTCTCGGTAAGAACGTTTGAGGAGGAGAGGGAAAGACAACGTGTGACATCCAACAGGGAGACTAAGGGAGATGGCTGCCTACTTTGTTTCAATTCTGTCTTGAGCTGAAGGCCCAGAGCCCAGTACCTGGACAGCTTCTCTTTCTGAGCACCAACTGAATCCCGGCATGAAAGGCGTCCTATCATCCCTCCCCCAGCATCCCAGTTCTGGTGATACGACTTTTACTTTGTTATAACTAAGTTACAGCAATACACTCTCCTCTGCACCCATCATCCTTCCAGCTACTAGGCTCCATCTCTGGGCTCCTCCATCCTGAGCACTTTATTTTGAGTCCTCTATTAGTGAGCCAGATTTCAAGAGTTGATAATTTTTTCAAGTAAGGCTCGTGGGTGCCACGCTACCTAGACTTTTTGGTGTAGAACGCCTGCCTGTGACCTTAATTCTGACAGGACAACTCAGCTGGGGGTGACAACACAAGGTCCCACGGGCCTTCTAACTTGTAGACAGCGCTCAACTGTCTTCTTGATGCAGGACTCTTTTCTTATCCTTCCATTTCAATATTCTCGCAGCCTGTGTTTCAATGAACATCCTTCCGTGTCCTTTCAACCTGCAGTGGTGGTCCATCCTTTATTTCAGGGAAATGTTCCTGAATTATCCTCTCAATCCTTTTCAGAGATCACCTCTGTCTGTTTTACATTTCATTCATCCAACAGATATTTACCAAGCACTCACTATGTACCAGGTACTGTTCAAAATGCCGGAAATAAAGCAATAGCCATGGCAGACAATACCCTCAGACCCCGGGGAGCTTGCCTTCTGACAGGAGAGACAGGCAACACAAATGTGTTAACTGGGGTGCGCCGGAGGTGGGCAAAGGGCCCAGGCAGTGGCCAGTGTGGGAGGAAGGAGGGTCAGGGAAGGCCTCGCTGGACCTGGGGCAGCCCTAATAGGTGAGGAGGGGCAAGGGCGCCACGTGGCCCTCAGGGAAGAGTGTGGTCCTGAGCCGGAATCCTCTCCAATTTTCTTTCTGATGGTTTCTCATCTCCAGCCCCTCCGCCCCCCTCAAGTTCACTGTGATATCAAGTCTTTCTTTCGTCTTGGTGACTTTATTCTCATGGCACCCGCCATGTTCTCTGTGATTTCTGATTTATGGGTGTGCAATGGTGTCATCTTGGCTCTCCCCGTGCTTCCTCTGCTCTGCAAGTCCCCTTCTCGTGCTCATCCTACTGCTGGTCCACCAGCTCTGAGCTCTCACGCTCCAGAATTCGAATCTCCCCCAGGCTGTTCTGGGGCCTCTCTCAGCCTGGCCCCTCGTCTGCCTCTGCTGTGACACTCCTCCAGGGCTTGTGCGGCCACCCCGCTGCTGTGATTTCTGCTGCTCACTGTCAAGGTGCTCAGTCTAGTCCAGGGCGTCTCCCTGGCAGCACGGCTGACACTTGGGGCCGGATCATTCTCTGTCGTGGGGCCCGTCCTGTGCACCGTAGGATGCGGAGCAGCATCCCTCCCCGTTCTCCACCCACGAGATGCCAGTAGAACATCCTCCATTTTGACAACCAAACATGCTGAGACTTTGCCCGAGGTCTCCTGGGGCAACACTGCCTGTTGAGATGGGCCTAGACCCACTAGCACTGACAAGGTGTGGGTGAGTTTTCTGACAACCCCCCACCACCACCATCCCTTCCCCCCAACCACCACCCCACCACCCCACCACCGACCCCGCCATGCCGTCCGCCTGAGGGCCGTCCGCACTTTCCACAGCCAGAGGAACTGGGAGTTGCCGGATCCTGCTCCGTCTGTGCGCTGGGAGTCATCCTGGAGGACCGAGTCCTGAGTCCTGATGAAGGGCCCTGGCAGGGGGCTCTTGTTCAGCCAGGAGTGTTGCCCAGGTGTGGGCTCTGGGTTAATTTCTTTTTGTGTGTGTGAGGAAGACTAGCCCTGAGCTAACATCCGATGCCAATCCTCCTCTTCTTGCTGAGGAAGATTGGCCCTGGACTAACATCCGAGCCCATCTTCCTCTACTTTATATGGGACGCCGCCACAGCATGGCCTGACAAGCGGCGCGCTGATGCACGCCTGGGATCCAAACCTGCAAACCCCAGGCCGCCGAAGTAAAGCGCAAGCACTTAACTGCTGTGCCACCAGGCCGGCCCCTGGGTTAATTTCCTTTTTTTTTTTTTTTAAATAACATCATAATTTTATTTATTTATTTATTTTTCCCCCAAAGCCCCAGTAGATGGTTGTATGTCACAGCTGCACATCCTTCTAGTTGCCATATGTGGGACACGGCCTCAGTATGGCCGGAGAAGCGGTGCGTCGGTGCACACCCAGGATCCAAACCCGGGCCGCCAGCAGCAGAGCGCGCACTTAACCGCTAAGCCACGGGGCCGGCCCCTGGGTTAATTTAACTCAGCCGAGTGTCCTGGAACACGAAGTAGGCCCTGCTTCGGCCAGGCCCCGTGGCAGAGACGGCCCAGCGCTGGCTGAAACTCTTCCAGAGCTGCCGGCTCAGCCCCACGCGGCTTCTCTCCAAATGGAAAAGGGTGGGAGGTGGGTTACCAAGAATTCTCAGCGTTTGGGTGCTGACCTTTTCCTCAGTAATGCTTCTGGGAAAGGGCAAGAGGCGCCGTGCCACACCACAGGACGACTGCCTTCCTTCTTCTGTGGCCCCGCGTGAGGCTGAGGCCCCTTCGTGGTTGGGTTGTGGTAGGCAGGGTTCGGCTTTTTTCTTTAACCCACTTTAAAATCTCAGTGGTCCTGGGGGAGGGAAGGTCTAACTGGACTTCACCTGACATCTAAACTCGTAGTTCTTGATCCCACTTTCAACTGTGTCACATCTCCCCACTACATGAGCTTGGAAGATTAACTCACTCTATAAATTCTTTTTTTTTTTTTTTTTTTTTTTTTAAGATTTTATTTATTTTATTTTTTCCCCCCAAAGCCCCAGTAGATAGTTGTATGTCATAGCTGCACATCCTTCTAGTTGCTGTATGTGGGACTCGGCCTCAGGATGGACGGAGAAGTGGTGCCTCGATGCGCACCCGGGATCCGAACCCGGGCCACCAGCATCGCAGCGCGCGCACTTAACCACCAAGCCACAGGGCCGGCCCTATAAATTCTTTAAGTAGTTACCTATTTGACTTATTCAACACGAGAGAGAAACCTATTTTCAACAAGTCACAAGACACGTACCCAGCTACGAGGATTTTAGGAATCTCCCCAGCAAACGCCTCGGCCATCTCTCGGCTGCCCACGTTGGCGATGCAATGCAGGGCCAACCCCATGAAGGTGGGGTTTCGACTAGCCAGGTCATTCTTGATGGCGTTGTTGATCAAACGGATCAGCTCACTATTAGAGTTCACCAACACAGAGATGAAGAGATATCCCTGGGTTCCACAAAGACAAGAGAACAGAAAGCTCATGACAATCTAACTCAACAAGGGCCCTGAGATACCTAGAAGACAACAACACAGACACTTTCCACCTTCAGAGGGCCTCCAGCACTATTCCAATCTGTTCAGTGTACTGCTATAAGACTCGTGCCACCTGCATTGTGATGAAAACATCAGTTCTGTTACAGAAGCAAAGTCTCCGCTTCCAATTCTGCCATGGGACAGTCCTGCAGGACAAACCTAAGCGGTACTTAGTCAGATGTCACCCCAGGAATCAGACATCTTGGTCCTCCCCAGTCCCACTCACCTATCTGTGGTGACACGTCTGAGAGACCTGGACTCACCACTGTCCTGAACAGGATAGGAAGGGGCCTTCATTCAGTGGGCTTGCCTTGGCTGTAACTAAGAAACTGGGGTGATTTCCAGAAACCCAGCTGACTGCTGTTGCCCCCTCTCCTGAATCTGTCTTTGTGTCCCCAGCTTCCCCTCACCATCCAGGCCAAAATCCAGCCCCATGTCACCCCCACTCTCTACGCCCTCCCCAGGCAGGGGGACACAGCGATTTTCTCGAGACTCGTCTGATCACTGACCACGCACGTTAAACTCCTGCCCAGCTTCCCGTCAGTCTCAGGAGAAAGGCCCCATCCATGAGCCCACTCCTTCTCTCCATCTGGCAGCTGCTGCCCTTTCAGTTCTGCACTCCCACGCACGTGCCCTTGGCTGGGTGCCACGTGCTCTGCCCACCCTCATCCCCCAGTTAACTCCCTGCTTTCAGTCTCAGCTCAGGACGCCCTCCCCAGGGAGCCCTCCCTATAGCTACGTCCTTCTCAGGGTCCCAGAGGGTTCTGCAAGCCTCCTTCCCTGGCACAAGCCGTTATTCTCTATTTCTGGGGCTGTCTGATGCCATCTCCCCACTGGACAAGAGCAGGGCCCGCGACTGCTTTTGATCACTGACTGTGTCCCCAGGGGTCTCCCCAGCACACTAGTTGGTCCATGGCAGACACTGAATAAATTCTTAGTGAGTAAATACCAACACTTAACAAAATTCCTGGGGCATCGAGGGTATTTTTTTACTTTCTGTAAGTTAAATTTTTGGACAAATAGGGGGAAATGTTTCTTTGTAATACTAGAGAAAACATACAGAAATAATGTTACTCCAACAGGATGCAGGGCTAAAATTACAAAGCTGAGAGGCTTCAGAAGCCCGGGTACAGCACTGTCTGAGAAGGTGCTGGGAGCAAGGGCACATACCCATCTGCATGTGGGTGTGATACCCGTTTCAGAAGCAGAACCTTGTACAAGAGGCCACGAGGTAAAGTGATTTGTGACAGTGCATCAGCAAGGCACTGTAGGGAAGGACACAGCCTCCACTCCCTCTGAGGCGGACCTCAAGGGAAACAGTCGCACCCAAGGCACCATCACAACACAGCTGGGCTTTGTGCAGCCCTGTCCAAACCCACAGGAAATTCCCAGACTGGATGGAAGTTTTAAAGAAAGAGCAAGAAAAGAAATGGCCACCTGATCAAAAGAACCTTATCCCCGATGCCTGGAGAACACTCGATGGTGGGAAAGGGCAGGGAGGCCCCGGGGCCAGCTCAGGTGTCAGCCCCTGCAGCTCCGTGGGTGTGACAGGAGGCCTCAACTCCATCCCGCCCCACCCCCACCGCCACACTCACAATCTGCTTCTCCGTGTATCTGTTGGAGCTCAGCAGGTTCACAGCCTCCATGTGTCCAAAGTCAATGTCGTGACCCAAGAGAAAGATGAAGAGCAACTTGCAGACGTATTTTTTTTTACTATAGCCATCAAGAGCCTTGTCACCTATGGAAAAGGGGGGTGAGGCAGGGAAAGCAGAGAACTCATCAGCAGGCAGCATATGAACCAACCTCCAACAGCGGGGCAACTGGGTCCCCAAACAGACACACCACAGACACTGTCCAGCATGAATGGTACTTCTAAACCGGGTGGTGCACATCAGAATCCACGTTTGGCTTCTCTTAAAAAATAGAAACCAGAACACATGGCAGCAAGAGTTCTGCCCTCCCAGGACAGCCCTAGGCAGGCGCTGTCGGGCCAGGCCCCCGGGCCTCACCCCACCCTGCCACAATCCACCAGGGTCCCAGGAGCCAGCTGGCCTTAAACCAGCAAGTTACTCTTTAAATACGTTTATCAATTTAGGCAGATGAACATACTCTAAATAATCTTCCATTTCACACCAGTTTCAGGACAAATCACCCATTCACAGAGATCACACACACAGGGATCAGAAGGGCATCTGCGTCTTCACCTAATCACGGCTGACTGGGCACTTCACTAGAGGTCCTAGCACAGCAGACTCCAAACAGGTCGCTGGCAGAATATAAAACGTCATTTTGAAAAGGACCACATGCACCCCCGTGTTCATTGCAGCGTTACTCACAACAGCCAAGACGTGGAAGCAACCTAAGTGCCCATGGAGGGACGAATGGATAAAGATGATGTGGTACATATACACGATGGAATACTACTCAGCCATAAGAAATGATGAAATCCAGCCATTTGTGACAACATGGATGGACGTTGAGGGTATTATCCAAAGTGAAGTAAGTCAGAGGAAGAAGGTCAAATACCGTATGATTTCCTTCATTAAGTAGTAGAAAATAACAACAACAAACACACACATAGAGACAAAGATTGGACTGGTGGTTACCAGAGGGGAAGGGGGGAGGGAGGAGGGCAAAAGGGACAATTCGGCACAAGTGTGTGGTGATGGGTTGTAATTAGTATTTGGGTGGTGAACATGATGTAATCTATGCAGAAATAGAAGTATAATGATGTACGCCTGAAATTTATACAGTGGTATAAACCAATGTAACTGCAATAAACAAAAAATTTTTAAATAAATAAACAAATAAAAAGGACCACTCAGCATTGCTGTTTTAAATACCAGAAGTTCTTATTTCACCTGAGAAGTGCAAAATATCCCTTAGAGTCAATCTCTAGAGACTGTGGAGGTGACAACCAGAAAGCGTGATTGTCTTATTAAGCTAGTCTTACGGCGACACTGCTGCCACAGTATGAAGGGCCCGTGTAGGACATGGGGGACGCGGAAGACAATGACACGATGCTCCTCATTGGTAAGGAGTTGGGACACTCATGTTCCGTGAATGCGCACTGGCAGACCTCAAAGAGCTGTCTAGGAGAAAGAGCCCCCCCCACCGATTTCCTGGGGTGACAGTCGATTACATGTCAGCCAGGCAGCTGGACACCTCACCTTGAAGAGCTCTTAGAACCCTCCCTCCTTTTCAGCAGCAAACTGACATATAATTTAATGACCAAACAATATAAAAGCAGACCGGGCCTGGTTCCCCCCAACACCCCCCACCAGCTCATCTGCTCGCTGTGCCCGAGGAGCCCGGCTCTGTCACTTTCCGACTGGAACACGTCCCTGTCAACTATGGGAAAGCGTCTGTAGGTGTAGAGCATGCAGCCCACTGCAAGGGGCAGCCATCCCCCATCTCCCACCCACCCAGCTGTCCTTCAAGAACCAGCCCAGATTCCATTGCCTTCTGGAAGCCTCCTTTGACAACCAAGTCAAAAGTACCACCCTATATCCTCTCCTTCTGGAGACAGGTCCCTGCTCCTCAGTTAGAGCACGTCTTACAGGAAAACCTAGCAGTGCGAGAGAGGAGAGAGCGAATAGCCCAGTCAAACTGAGCTCTGTGCAGACGGCCGTGGAGGCACGTGGGGCTCTTTCCCTGAAGCACCTTGACTGGTTTCTGCTCCTGCAGGACCCCAAACGCAGGGTCCCTCCTACAGCCCTTCCCAACACTGGCAGACTCACAGCAGGCACACGTTTAAAGGCTGAGCCCCCAGGAAAGGCAGGCTGTGGCTAAGGTGAGAAGAGTCACATGTCTCTCAGCCCTGACGCTGCGCTGACACGGGGTAAATGCCCACACCCAGAAGGCAGTGTGGGCACTCACAAAGCACTGACAAGAGCTGGAGACCAACCTGGGTCCCAGCCCAGAGGGGAGACAACAGGGAACCCTGCCTGAAGCCAGAGCACCCAAAGGGGCTACATCCTCAGTGAGACGGTGGCGGGGGAACCTGCACTCGCAAAGGGAACCAAAAGGGAGACTTGTCTGTTTGTATCACAGCTCAGTGCAAACGGGAAAAAATGACAGTCCCCGAGAATACGTGGCCCAGGCCTGCTCTCCTCTCCCTCAGGTGCCCACCCTGGTCTGATGCCACCTGGTTTGAGGTACTCCCTTTCCACTGATTGCATCCAAATGAGGCCCAGCCCTGAGTCCTCTCTTCATAGCGGTTCTTTCTCATCGGGAACTGTGCGGCTGGGCGGGCGTCCGCAGTGCCTCCCTCCACTGAGCAGCTCCCATGAAGACTCGGGCCTGACAGCAGGAGGCACCATCACTTCCCGAGACATATGCTGGAGTCAGGCTGGGGGGGTCCTGCGGAGCTTCAGTTGGGTCTGGTGGGTGCTTGCTGCAGGCTCGCCTGCTGGTCTCAGGGTTGATGATGACCCCACTGTTTTCTCTGGCAAGTTTCAAACCATCAGCCCTCCCAGACCCGGCTTCTCAGCAGCAGCCAGCTGTGAGGGCTGCAGACTAAGGGGCAGGGTCACCTCCAAGCTCGAGAGCGACATTATAATGCATCCTGCCTCGGGCACGCCTCACACGTTCCAAGAGTGCCTCCATCAGGGGCAAGGAGAGTCACCCCAGGGGCTCGGTCCCACTGCTCCAAGTGACAGCACGTGCACTTCAGACTCGGAAGGCCTTGAACACAAAAGCCTGCTCATTACATGCAGCCTAGATGCTCATCACTGTCAAAGCGTGTTCACTGGCTCCACCTGCATTCACCCCATACATCCCCAACACCTATCACCTACCCACCCAGGAGCAAGGCCCAGGGATGGAGTGCGCGAGAAACCCCTTCCATGTGCATGAGGAGCCCGGCATCCTGACAGCCCTCCACAAGGCACCGCTGGGCCTGGCTCTTCATTCTTCAGGAGCCCAAGCCAGTCTCCCAACTTCGAAACTCACTGTCAAGACACAGAGGCTCCTCACACCACTGGTCAGCTCCAAACACATGTCCACGGATGCTCCAGCCCAGGGCATAACACCTCTGTGCACCTCTCCTTCACGGTGGTCTCCGTAGGCCACGCAGAGGGACATGGCTGCAGGAAGGGGCCCACCCGCAGTTTAGGGGGAGGACGGGAGAAGCTCTGCGGTCCCACAACACCTCTCACCCCACCCTGGCCATAACCTTCCCACGGCCCTCTCTACAGGACCCCAGTGGCCAGACCGGCTCCTGCCCTCATGAGCACCCAGATTTGCCTAGCAGCCCCACATGACTCATCTGTGGATAGGGTGGGTCCCCGCCCTCTGCCCACCCCCAGTGGCCTGCACCCTGGCCAAACCAGCAACGACCTTCTCTGCTCTCCGACCTTCTCTGCTCTCCGGCGGGATGAGCTACCCCCTACCCCAAGCAGAGGCCTCCAGATCTGTTCTCCTGGGGGCTCTCCTTCAGCCCCGGCCACACGGTCCCCTTGTGTCTTACAGTCACTCTTATCAGAGTTCAGTAATTCTTTACAGTAAACGTCCCTACTCCCTGTGGATTCTCTTCCTGACTGGACCAGCCTGAGACAGTACTCAAAATGTCACTTTTAGTATTGGGCTAGAATTGTTTTTGATTCCAATAATCTCAAACTGTTAAATAGAGCCTTTTCTGAGCTGTAAATGGGGATGATGATAGTGATTCCCGTGTCCTGCTCGAGAAAGCTGGCCACAAACCACAAACGCATCCTGACTGAGGATCGGGGTCCAGGCTGTGTCCTGGGGTCTCTCAACTTCTCTAAGGCCCGTTCCTCAGTGGGCCATTACAGAAATGAAGCAGGACACTGCTCCTGGGGCTCAGTGGTGCCTGGGACAAAGTGAGACACAACAGAAGCTAATGAGGACCACATTTCACTGGCTCTCGAGATGCATGCTGATTTCAGAATGTGAAAAATGTGAAAAAAATCTATCTTAGAATGACTAAAACCTGACGTTTTTATAACAAAATATCAAATAGATAAGACACAAGACTGGAGAGTGGGCTAGTCACCACAGCATCTGGAGGCACAGACATGTTCCCTCTTCCTCAAGTGCTGGGGCCAGAACGAAGGAGAGGCACCCTTGACAGTCACTCGCCATCTGGGCCAGAGCCAGGTCGGCCCTCCGTACCCCCATGATGGGGGTCCCCAGCACCTGCCCCTCCTGCCACACTGCATGTGTCTCCTGCCTGCTTTGTCCCTGTCACACCCCAGCACCACACCCCAGTACCAGCACCAATTAACCTAATAACAACCCATCTGGTCACTTGTGCATCTCAGGCCCCATCCTGTGTCCTTTCAACAGTGGCCATGGTCAAAATTAGTCCAATATAACCACTTTTTAGGGATGGGGAAATGTAGCCAGCCCAATGTCTGTAAGCTTTGCTTATGACCCTAGGAGGCCTCAGGCTGACACGAATTTGCCATCTGTGCCTTAAGGACAGGACCCTTGTGCTAACACAGACATGGCCCCAGACAGGTAGGTTTCTAAACCTCTAGGCTTTATCGGGGTGGGGAGGTCACACATGTACCCACATAAAGGCAGGAAGAGGGCTCCTAGCCCACTGTGATATCTGAACCTGACCACCCTAGTCAGACTCTACCCTGCCAAGAAAGGTGTTCTCATCTGACAACTAAGACGCTAGGAATAACCTACAGGTCTCTGCATGATCGCAGGGATAACTTTCTAACACTAGGGAAATGCATCCAAGACCCAGGAACCAAAATCTTCTGG